AACCGAGATTGCTTGTCAAATTTTGACCCCGGAATAAATCTGTTACAAGAAGCGATCGAACCAGGCTTCATATACACCTCTCATAAAATCCTGGGCACACTGTCAACACTCTCGTCAATATCTCAAAATGGCCCACATTCAGTATACCTATAAACCAGAAAATATGATGTGAAGACCAGTTCATGAATACTTACCTAACGGCTCTCTAAATATAGACAAAAATGGTAGATGTGACTTAATACCTGTCACATCATACATAAATTACATAACCTTCAGATTTCGATGAAGAGACTGATAAATGCATTCGTAGAGCCTAACATTTCTTCACGGGCGTAGCTAGGGGGGTCCTGGGGGCCTGGCCCGCCAGAAAAACGGAATCCTCCATTCCTCACCCCCCGCTCTCTTCACCACGAGAGGTGGTCCCATGCCCCCCCCCCCCAGAGAAATTTCCTAGCTACGCCCCTGCACTTCTTCCCAACAAGCTGCGGCGACATAGAGTTGCGAAGTTATACCTATCCGCGCACCAACGGGCCTGTTGAAAGGTGCGGGAATTTGCAAATTGATGCCTGATTCCTATGGCAAATTTAACGAAAAGAACGATATGGCGCTACTAAAAAAACTTGAAATGACCTCTCAAACTCAGAATAATCTGTTTTTGGAACCGACCCATTCGAAACGGTCACTTTTACGCGGTAACGAATCCGCCATACTTGTGACGTCAAATGGTTCGACAGACCTGGTCTTTTCATCACTTACAATTTTTTTTCCCATAAGGAATTGGCAGCCACTTTTCAAATGCAAATATCGAGTCAATCTATGATTTTTGAACAAAATGATATTCAGAAATGAATTCCTCATACGTTTAAATGGTTAGAACCCTCGTTAGATAAATAAGAACCGACGGGATGAACCCTATTATTCAGGAAGACTGTAGTCAATGGCGATTGTTTACATCTGCTTAGTGATAACAGACATGGACATTATTAGCTCAATATTTATCCATTTTCAAGAGTTTTTACTTTTTTGCCACTATTTGGAGGTAAGTAAGTTCCTTTTGTAAATCAATTGTCTAGTGCCTTAGGATCATGTTAAGAGCTGTAACGGTACACGTACATTGTTACTTATTAATTCAGAACACACTCCGGCAGTCCAACGCTCAAATCAAGGATGCTCTCTCAATGCGTGTAAATCAATCCTAACTTTTCAACAAACATCTCGATATCATTCAGAACGTTTCCACGTTTTATAAACTGGTATAGGTATAAACTAAGTCTGGTAACCGAAAAAGGATCCTACATTCCCACATCTACTTTCTTTGCCTCCATCTAAAACATACCGGTCTCCTCATCTTATCAGTATTGTCAAAGGTAAGTTTTTTTTATTATCAATACTATCATTTTGGTGTCTTCAAAGAAACATATTGAAGGGTGAAATATTAAGATATAACAACTGACTCGCTACATCCAGGTTTGAGCGTTGGACTGCCGGAATGTGTTCTGAATTAATAAGTAACAATGTACGTGTACCGTTACAGCTCTTAACATGATCATAAGGCACTAGACAATTGATTTACAAAAGGAACTTACTTACCTCCAAATAGTGGCAAAAAAGTAAAAACTCTTGAAAATGGCTAAATATTGAGCTAATAATGTCCATGTCTGTTATCACTAAGCAGATGTAAACAATCGCCATTGCCTACAGTCTTCCTGAATAATAGGGTTCATCCCGTCGGTTCTTATTTATCTAACGAGGGTTCTAACCATTTAAACGTATGAGGAATTCATTTCTGAATTTCATTTTGTTCAAAAATCATAGATTGACTCAATATTTGCATTTGAAAAGTGGCTGCCAATTCTTTATGGGAAAATACATTGTAAATGATGAAAAGAGCAGGCCTGTCGAACCATTTGACGTTTCAAGTATGGCAGATCCGTTACCACGTTAAAGTGACCGTTTCGTACTCGTATAGTTCAGACAAATCCAACATTAGTCCGATGGTTGCTGAAAATCGTTGTTGAATTTTGCGCGTGACGCGCAAAATTCAGGCATCGGGCTGATGACTTCCACATTCAGCGTGTGATTGCGGCATTAGAGGATCCTATGCTACGCCAACAATGAAATTCGTAACACACCAGGAGCAAAAATTAGGTTAGGACGAGGATACCTAGTCAGTTTCTACAGGGTTATCCAAAAGTCACTGACCATCCCCTGTAACTTTTTTCCTAATTGAGATAGAAGTTTGAAACTTTGGCAATGTTCCCCGGTCTAAATTAGCAACTTTTCGGTTCCCCCAAAATTTCGGGGGGCGGCCCTCCAAAAGGGGGCGGGGGCTAACTTTTTTTTCAAATGGCAACCCCCCCCCCTTTGTGATGCCTCATTCGAAAGATAATACAGAAAGAAAATTTTTGGCGCGAGCCGCAGGTTAAAATGTTGAGTTTTCACAAAATGGCGGCCGGTCAAAGTTCAAAATGGCGGAAATCTGACATCTCTGTTGTGTATTGACGGATTGGCGTTAAACTCGAAATCCTAGGTTTCTTCGAGACGAGAAAAACGATTCTGGCATTGGTTTTCCAGAAAAGTCAGTCTTTTTCAAAATGGCGGCCTAGAGCGGGAAGCGGATACTTAGGCTGCTTATCGTTGGATTTGTATGAAACTTGGTATCCGGGGTATTTCGGCACGAGAAGAACGAATCTTTCATCGGATATCTGAAATTCTGACAAATTTCAAAATGGCAGCAGAAAAATGGCGGGAAATCAGTTTTACGGCTGTTTACCGATGGATTTGCATGAAATTCGATATCGATTATTCAGTATTTCAAGAATCTGATGAAAGATTCCTATTTATCGAGCCAAAAACCACCAGGATATCGAATTTCATGCAAATCCATCGGTAAACAGCCGTAAAACTGATTTCCCGCCATTTTTCCGCCGCCATTTTGAAATTTGTCGGAATTTCAGATATCCAATGAAAGATTCGTTCTTCTCGTACCGAAGTACCCTCGGGTACTAAGTCTCATACAAATCCAACGATAAGCAAATATCCACTTCCCGCGCTAGGCCGCCATTTTGACCGCCGCCATTTTGGAAAGGACCGACTTTTCTGGAAAACCAATGCCAGAATCGTTTTTCTCGTCTCGAAAAAACCTGAAAAGTGGATTTCGAGTTTAACGGCAATCCGTCAATACACAACGGAGATGTCAGATTTCCGCCATTTTTAACTTTGACCGGCCGCCATTTTGTCAAAACTTAACATTTTGACCTGCGGTTAGCGCCAAAAATTTTTTTTTTTATTATCTTTCGAATGAGGTATCACAAAGGGGGGGTTGCCATTTGAAAAAAAAGTTAGCCCCCGCCCCCCAAAATTTTGGGGGGACCGAAAAGTTCCTACTTTAGACCGAGGAACATTGCCAAAGTTTCAAACTTCTATCTCAATTAGGAAAAAAGTTACATAGGTGGTCAGTGACTTTTGGATAACCCTGTATGGTCTCTTGTGAGACTGTTGCTGAATACGGACTTATGACGAAGATAGCAATTGGCCATTTCTAGGCCATTTCCACTCCCCGCTTGCGTATCGAACGACCGCTCCATGCGTGTCACGTCTCTTCGTTGGCCACCATCAATCTACAGTTTTTATATCGTTAGGAGCCTTATGAAGAAGACGAAGACGACCGGAAAATGGAGTGATTCCGTTGCGGTTGAAACGGATAGTTGTTTTAAATTAAAGGAGGCAAGTAATGGACCATGCAACCATAGAGTTTCTCGCTGGATGCCGTTATAGTTAGTCAATTACTCATCACCCTTGTCCACTGCAACCATCCGCTTTCCAACAACAGAATCCCTCGACTTTCCCTTTGTCACCTCTGTCTGTAGCTTTGAATATAAATTCCGATATTGAAGCCGGCTAGAATAGGTAGGTACTACAAAGGAGACGCACCTGTTTCGAAAATAATTAGCTTTGGCCTGTAAAGTGGGTTCGGCGTGGGGGCCTCCAGATGAGCAGGCACTGAAAACACCTGAGAAAAAGTGGAAGGTACTCGAACCAACACACACATCAAGGATATCATAAAGAGCATGATGATCAAACAAAACTCCTCGTCATAGGTTAACTCCAAGTAGCGTTTGACGTCCGAGTGGCGAGCGATGATCATTTCGTGTTTCTTGTTTTTCAGCGGTTGTGAAACCAATCTGCCAGACTAATGTAAGGAGAAACGCCGTATGAACATTTGAACGTTGCCAAATTCGCTCAAAGAAAATATCTATTTTTGGGAAAGTTATGAATATTTTGCATTGAAATTTGCAGACTTCAAAGATCGAATTACGCACAAAATCCGCTGTAAATTTAGAACAAAAATACTCGTTGATTTTGCGAAAAATTCCTGATTTATAGAAGGCATGTTTAGCAACATCCGACAACTCATTAGGCGTTTTTCCTTAGTAGGGCAGCATTGATCCACACATTGATAGGTGAGAGTTCCGCTCGGTAAGACGGTTGCGTAACACTCGGGGTTTTCAGATTCTAGTCACCAGATGACAAAAACGAAGAAGACGAAAAAGAAGAAATAGAAAAGATAAAAGTACGTAAGTAGGTACGTATAATGAGGAGAAAAATAAATCAAGTAATATATAATGAACGAACGACCAAATGAAAACGTTCTGTGCATTAAAAATAATGAATCGCTTGGCAGATGAAGGAATATGAAATTTAAACTATTGTGAAATTTTAATTTCCGGCTTTGCCCCCACCCCCTCCCACCAACGATGAACGCAACTTCTTACCACTTCTACGAATGAGCGTAAATACAAATTTCCCGCTTGTTCCGGTAATCATCGTTCAACGGTAATTTGTACGAAACGTCAACATTCATCAATCGTCGCGATATTTGTTTGTTATCACTTATCACTTTTTGTCGTGCTATTGGTGCTAATCACACTTTTTCGCTCACTTTTACTCTCGAGTTTTCCGTTATTTCTGTCAGCAACGAATTTCTGGTAGTTTTTTTTCTCCTACAGTGTATTTCTGAAGCGTAAGTATTAATTTATTCGCAGGTGGGATAGATTTTAAAGGTGTACTTAACAGTCAGAATACCATGGCCAGAAACTCCCATGTTTCTAGAAATTTCAGGACACTGTCAGCATGATTTCTTAAAATTCAACTCTATCACATCTATCATCTATCAGTTAGTAAGCATATGCTTAACAATAACTCTCTATTAACAGTTATTTTAAGATATATCAGTCTTAAATAACGGTTTATAACCCAAATACTTATTCCTTTAACTTCAGTGGCAAAGATTTCTCCAAGTCATGCGGTCAGCCAGTACGTATCCTAAGTGCATCCCATCCAAAGTCACCATTTCATCCTCTTTCTTATGAATGTCCTTCATTTCAGTTGATGTAACATTCTGTGCTCTCATTTGTGCAACTTTGAAAATAATAGCTGCAATCTTATGAATCTTTGTCTGTGTTCAAATAACTCTTTCTCTGCGACCATAACATTGTTTGACGGTGTTTGTTAACCCTTCGGTGAGTCACATCCTAGAGTCATACAACTGGGCGTGCTGCAGCATTTGGACCGCAACGCATCACTCCGCTTTTTCGGCAATACTAACAAATTTCATTCAATCAATGTACTCTATCGTATATTGTAAACTATTTTTACACGACTTTCTCTTTTTTAATTTTACTTTAAATCAATTTAATCACGGCTAAACCTTCTAATTCCTGAAGAGAAAATATTTGTGAATATATTAGAGAACTTTGCAAAAAAGGCGTTCATTTTTAATTACAAATGTTCAAACAGAACTAATTTTTAAAAAATCAGTTGATTTTATAGAGTTTTGTTTGAAAACACAAAATGTAACTGGTCATACTGAAATTGATGTTGGACGAAAAGGCTATGCAAAGAAATCACACTCTTTTCCCATCTGCTGACTCGCCTTCGGTCAGACAGCTGTAACACACTTAAAAGATCTGATTTTTAGTTCGGTAAAAGTTTTTCTTGCATTTTGTGCTGACTGAAAATGGAATCAAATTGATTTTGCTGAAATTATTGCAGAAATGAACAAGGTGCGCTCAAGTATATCTGTATTATTCAAATAATTGTATGGAAGAGACGTTGCAACCCTGTAAAATGTAATGAAACACTCTCAGCACCGGTAGACCAGTGATCCATGTGTAATTATTAAGGATGCACAGGAAAAACCTTACAAAGTGACCGATTGATATCGACAACATGACTGGGCGCTGCGTGGCAATCAGGCCGCACATACTTACTGATGACCTCCGATTTGAGCCTCGGAAGCCCTGACCTAATCCTTGCAGCTCTTCAACCCATGTAGAGCAAATATTTTAAATTGCGGTCCAGATGCCGCGGTGCGCCCACCGAAGGGTTAAACAACAATTAGTTGCACCTGCGCAGCAAATATTTGGATATTGTCCTGAAGAAACTGGATCAATAAAATTTTCCAACTATCGTGAAATTGCACTAGTCTCCGCAACTCTCAACTTCTTGAATATGCAACTGATCATATCAAGCGCTCTGAAGTTTCAGCGTTATGCTTTATTGATGGAAAGAGGAAAACCTGCTCTGTAAAGGGTAGGAAATTTATCAAATTACAGAATTGTTTTTGTAGAGCAAGTGCAGTATCACTGACAAAATATCATGGAACATTTCTGGACTCTCTCCCGGTCGGGGCCAATTTCACTGAGTCAGTTGAGTCATCAATTAGTGTTGATGCCTGTTCAGAATAGAACCATTCTTCATAGAAATAACAAACAAACTGTACAGTACTTTCGTTGTTTTTTGGTGGACTTCAGAGTGGTAGACTTTGAAAAAACTGGGCTAGGAGTTTCGATAGAATCTTGGTAGTTTTTAGGAAGCTCAACATCTTTCACAAGAGTTTCTGATTCCATTGTGCTTGAAAACCATTGTGATTCTCTGACTCCATTTACCCATTGCCGTAGGATCCAAAATGCCCGGTGAAGTAGGGTGTGGCGCCATTGACATATCACCAGCGCAAGATGGTGGAGTCCTGAAAGAAATCATCAAGCCTGGCGCCGGTGATCTCACTCCATCGAATGGATCCACAGTCAATGTCCACTACACGGGAACGCTGGTCGATGGGACTAAGTTCGACTCTAGCAGGGACAGAGGCCCTTTCAGCTTCAGTCTTGGACAAGGTATGTAATTTTAATTTATTTCATTTTCCTCCATCAACTTGACCTGTCTTATCGATTGCCAAAGAGCAAAACTACCCATCTCCATTGCAACGTTGCAGATTTTTGTCTTGGCCTGATTGAGTATTTTGACTGCACTCGCAGTATTATCATTGTTTGAAGTGATTATTTCTGTTTCTTTTTTAAGAAATGAAATCTTCTGATCAAGATTTGTATGGTACAGTGGCCTTGTCGCATTGGATTCAAAGTGAGCGAAACTATGGTCATCTCACATGACATCTATACGTTTCTGGCCAGTGAGACATTTGTCTCATTGCTTCAACTTCAAGCATCTTTTTCTTAGTCAAAAAAGCAGTTTTTGCAAACAAGTTTGTCATTAGTATTTGCTGGAGAAACATCTGTTTTCAAGGTAATTCCTGGATCTTAGAAAATCAGCCCTATCCCTACACTCGTTCCCAATGTCAGTATCTTTTCTAATGATTCTCTTTACATTTCTGCCCTGTTTTTTTTTTTTTTTTTTTTTTTTTTTTTTTTTTTTTAAATTCAAAATCTGTTGTTTTACTAGGTTCTGTCATTAAAGCGTGGGACATAGGTGTGGCCACCATGAAAAAAGGAGAAATCTGTAAATTAACATGTCTCCCAGAGTACGCTTACGGAAGTAGAGAGACTGGCTCAATACCTGCCAATTCCACTTTAATTTTCGAAGTGAGTATACATTTTGTAGTTTCACATTCCCCTCTCTAAAACTCTCTTGCCATTTTTACAACATGTTTTTTACCTATTCCTTTTTTGCAAATTAAATGGCGAAAATTTTGGCCGATGCCATTATTGCTAAATAAATGTTCAGTACTCAACCCACACCGGTTTCACTCTTGCTTTTTGTGTGGGAGGAATCATTTTAACAGAGTTAATCGAAACAGCCCAACTACATGTGAGGTTGTCTAATTTTCTCGAATGTTTCATTTTTCTTTAACAGAAATCCAAGTCACATTGGAACTTCAAATTTCGTGAATACATCTTTGTAATCTAGGGTAAATTCATGGGAGGTTAAAAGATGTCAAGTGGTTTAGTTCTTTAAAAAATAAAGAAAAAATCAGGGAACGGGAACCGTAAGCGCGCTCATTCTAGTTGAATACATGTAATAAGTAGGTACCTCTGTATCAGATGCATGTCGTTTTTGACGTTTTAGAATTGAATTTAAAAGTAAATTTCATACATTTCCAGGTACTAAGTTGGGTTGTTTTCTTTCTAAGAATGGAAACTGGAGTAGAAATTTTGTATAGTCTTGATAGAAATCATTTTTCCTCTTAATCTTATTCTACTTCAATTTCTTGACCTTCAGATTGAAATGTTAGACTGGGAGTTAGAAGACCTGTCGAGTAAACAGGACAAAGGAATTCTACGACAAATACTTACACCCGGTGTAGAGATCTCCACTCCATCCTCTGGAAGCACTGTTGATGGTAAGAAACGCAGTACCTTGATTTTTGCTCGAGCCTCAAGAATCTTATTTTAATATGTTTGAAAGAGTAATAGAAGTAAAATGTTATTTTCAGAATTTTTTTTTGACAAGAGACGCTGTATTACAATAACGAAGGACAGCCCAGGATTTGAAAAAATAAATATTGATGACTGTCAATTGAATCAGTGAGAACGAAAACACACTAACTGGAGAAAATAAAAATAATCAAAACACAAACAAAACTGTTCAATGGGTGAAGAAGTTAGTCCAAGAAAAAGATTTTTGGTGCCAAGAGACATGTACTGATGGACACTTGAAAGGTCCAAGTTGGAACATATGCGCCAAGTTCAATGACGTGTATGAAAGTTGACTGTCTTTAATGAAAATTGATTATTTTGAGTCACCAAGTTGGTGTGTTTTTGTTCTCACTGATTCAATTGTACTCTGTCATCAAGTCGATGTTTTCTCTCATGGTTTTCTGAAAGTTCCAATAAAGTACTGGCAGTACAGTTTTCTCTTGGAAGTATGGCAGATCCAGCCAAAGTCTAGACCGATTCATAGAGTGCGAAAAAATTCATGATGTGACGAAGATAGCTTTTTTTAAGTTTCTGCCAGTATAATAAGTTGTGATTCTAAGCATGAATTCTCGGTGTTTTCAAACTTTATTCTTCTACTATTGTGTGTCTCTTATTTTTTTTACCAAGGAAAAAGTGTTTTTTGCGCTTTAATTTGGAGTGTCAATCTCCTTGAGGAAAATTTTCATCTACTACTAATTTATTTTGATCGTTTTAGTGCACGTAACGGGAGAGTACAACGGAACAGTCTTCGATGACAGAGATGTTTCATTCCCTCTCGGTGAGGGCTCAGAGTTTAATATCCCTAAAGGATTAGAGAAAGCGTTGCAGAAGTTCAAAGTCAAGGAAAAGTCGCGGCTTGAGATCAAAGCGAGGTATGGATTTGGATCAGAAGGAAACAAACAGCTTAATGTCCCACCTAACGTTGATCTAGTCTATGTTGTTACATTGAATAGTTTTACAGAGGTGAGTCACGCCATTTTTTGATACGACGTTGTTTACGACCAGCCCTCAAGGAGGCATCTAGGGACCTCTCTCAAACGAGAAAATTACACTTTTGACCCTTGGGTTGAGCCTCCAAGGTAGATGAATTAAGATGGGTGTTTACCTCCTCTTTTGGTTTATTTTATATACTTAATAATTTTTTTATACCATGAAACATTTTGTTTTCAAACATTTTTGTAATTATTCAACCATCACTTTTTCTGCATTCCCTTTCAACAGTCCATGAGACCTCAATTTGCCGAATTTTAGGGACAAAGACCTAGAAAAGATGGAATTTATTTTTTTAAATATCACTTCCTAAGTTTTGTATCCCAACTTTCTTTTCTCCTAGTTAAAGAAGGGTTGGTCCATGGATGATGCAGAGAAAATCAAGCACGCTAAAATGTTTAAGGAAAAAGGACTCAAGTACATCAATGCCCAGAAATACAATTTAGCTCTCAACATGTACAAAAATATGATTACATACATCGACTCTGGATACGGTGAGTGAAGAAAGTCCCGTTCGTAAAAACATTTATAATTGTAATGATAAAACTTGCTTTAACAGATTTTCTGTTGTCTTTATTTTATATATTTTCGACATTCTTTTCTCTTAAAAATTATTTTAAAAGTCACAATTGCAACCAATATTTGACCCAGAATCACTGAAATACAACTTGAATTTAAGTAAAGACTTAAGCTTGATGAAAATTTGACTCAAATTTGGTAAAAATTAGACTCAAATTCCATTATAATTTGGCATGCATTTGATGAAAGATTGGTAAAAAATGTAATGCAAATTTGAGTACTTAGAGGAAATCAAAAACTAACCAAGAATTAATTTCCGAGCGTTTCTTTTTTTCAATCAATTATTTCATTGTTGAATTCTCATAGCTTAATTTATTTTTCATTTTGGATAATTCGACTAAAAATGTATGTTTTTTGTTGAATATGTACTAACAAGAATTTGATATGAACTGCATGAAAAGTTGGCTTTCATTGGACGATGAGTAGATATTATTTGGATAAAAATTAGACATGAATATGCTGGAATTTTGGCCGAGATTTGATCAAAGCTAGATACAAACTCGTTGAAAAGTTTATTAGCTAACTGTGAACTTTTAACAACAATCATGACCTCAATTTATTTAATCACTAATGGTTTTATATTTATTTGCTGAAACTTAAATGCTCATGGTGTCCCAAATAGACATGTATAGAATATTCAACGATATAAAATTCTGATAATTTTGATAGGTTTCAGTGAAGAACTAGAAAAAGAGAGGAAATCGCTGCTTATTGCTGCTCGTTTGAACTGCGCCCTGTGTTTGCTGAAACAGGAAAAATACACAGAGGCTCAGGCAGCTTGTAAAGAAGTTTTGGATGTGGATCCCAACAACATCAAGGCTCTCTATCGAAGGGGACAGGTACGTTATTTGGATGCATTTATGCTGAAAAAACTTTTCACAGATTATTATTAAATCAAACGGAACCATGAACACTAGGTTCAAGCACCATAGGTAGTGAAGACAAGCTAGGAGAGAAGAACAAATTTAATACAAGGGTAAAAAGCCAAAAGTGAGTCCGTTGAATCAGAAAACAAGAGGTTGATTCCAATGTGTGAACGTTGGAGAGCATTCACCGGACCCACTTGTGAATGTATTTTTTTTTTTTAGCTTCGTACTTTCTTCATAAAAATCACAATAAATGCAATGAGCTTGTTGCAAACTTTTGCTAAAGCAAGAACAAGAGTTGTTTCCTGTAAAAAATGTCTCGAAAGTCACGATGAGCGCATTGGCAAAGTCTGAAATGCACTCCTAACATCACAATCTGCCTAAAAAATTTGCGTGTTTATATAATCATTTTGGTGGTCTAGTGATTATGAACTTCTTCACTACCCGGTGAGAATTAGTTATTCTATCTTCCAAGGCCTGCTTAGAAACGACGCATGGTGGATCGAGTCAATGGTACAGGTCGGTCATGGGCGATTTGGGCAAATCGCATTTATAAAGGGACAAAGGTGTTCCTTAAGAGTTATATTTTAAGGATCTGACACTAATTTGGAACGAAACATGTTCATTTTTGTGACAGAAGGCATCCAAGAGGGGGCTCTGTGTAACTTTTCATTTTAGCAAAAAATCGTCCAAGTCTTTCTATTCCATTTAACTTGCTTCTGTTTAAATTAATGCTAGTTTCATTGATTGATTCTAATTCTTTAGAGTCTGGAAAACACATTGCACTAGTAATTTTTTGTATTCGGCCCATTTTTTTAATGATTATGTTTGCTTTAATGTGCTTATATCAAAACGCGAAAAAAAAAAAAAGTTTAGGTATGCTTTTAACTACCCATTCGCCACCATCCACCAGAAAACTTTGTTTAAGCATGTTTGTAGGAGTCCTGAGAGTAACATTCCGCAATATTTGGGTGCCACATTGCGCCTTTTTGGCCGTAACGTCACTTTTTCTGTGCAGTCGGAGCTCTATCTCGAAAATCAAGCAATCAGTGAACTTTCATAACTGCTAAATGACCCAGGTAGGTATGATTCCTGTTCATCGGAAACTGAAAAACAAGTTTCACCATCAAAACGTGCTCTTTGGCCCGTTTTTCGTATTTTCATTTTTTCCTGAACTACATCATTAATATAAACTTCGAAGGATTCTGCCTTTTTCTATTTCACTCGAGGGGAAGTGTCCCCTCCCGGACTCTCTTCCCCACCCGGTGACTGACGCTGCGCTGTGCTGAACGGTTCAGCCTGAACCTTTCCCCTACGTCTGACCGTTCCCCACTCCTCTGTCAATCAAACCATATGCCACCGCTTACGTACTGTCGCTCGCCCACCCAGGTACCTAGCGGCCAGCGGTCAGTTGATGATAAATCTCGCTCATGCTCCTATACAGCTACGCATTGATTACGCCAGCTAATTACTTTCTAATAATTAGAATTTCTTCGATAAT